CTGCCTCAGCCTCCCGAGTAGCTGGGACTACAGGCATGCACCACCATGCCCGGCCATTTTTTTCCATATATATGTATATTTTTAGTTGTCCAGATAATTTCTTTCTATTTTTAGTAGAGACGAGGTCTCGCTCTTGCTCAGGCTGATCTCGAACTCCTGACTTTGAGCGATCCACCCGCCTCGGCCTCCCAGAGTTCTAGGATTACAGGTGTGAGCCACCGTGCCCGGCCTCTCACATTGTCTCGAAGTCATTGCTCCTGACTTGTCCTCTAGCTTCCAGTGTTGTGTTTGAGAAGACTGGAGCCGTTCTGATTTTTCAGTCCTTTGTTTCCTGTTTTTCTCCTCTGGAAAGTTTGAGGATCTTCTTGTTTTCCCTCGGGGTCTGAGATATCAAAATGGTAGGTCTTGAGAAAGTCTCTTTTCATTCATTGTGCTAGCTACTCTGTGAGATCTTCCCATCTGTAAACTCACATCTTTCAGTTTAGGAAATTTGTCATGGTTTAGTTCTTTGATAATTTCCTTTCCTCAGTTTTCTCTACTGTTTTGTAATTCCTGTTAATAAGGTGTTATACCTTCTGGATTGATCCTCTGGCTTTTTATCTTTTTTCTTCTGTATTCTGTGTCTTTGTCTTTTTGTTATAATTTCTCCATGCTTTCTTCAACTTTATCACCTAACCTTTTATTCACTTTTTTCCCTCATAGTTTGAAAAGCTTTTTCTTCTCTGAATGTACTGATTTTTAAAAAATAACTAGAGCCTGGTTTACGACTGTAATAGTTTCTCTTTTCGAACACACTATAATGTGTTTTTTTGTAATTTAAAATCCTCTTGTCTATTTCTTATTTCTTCTTTCTTGTTAGAGGTTCTTCAAATGCCTGGTTATCCTTGTTCATCCACTTATATTTTTAGGAGAGAGATGCTAAAAACGAAAAAAATGATTTGAAGCTCTGTGTTATATTATGGGTAAGGCTTGTTGGCCTGTGGTCCTTTCTGTAGAATGATATGGTGACCAGTTAGCATCTATAGGTCTTTTCTCCGAGTGCAGTTTTCCCAGAAAAAAATCTCAAGATGTTCTAACTAGAGGTAAAAGCTTGGCTGCCAGCATCCTCAAAGCCAAGTGCAGAAGGGGATGGTAGGGTTGTGGGGTGGGGGTATGGTCTTATAATTCAGTGTGTAGACTTTGACATCCTCCCGTCTGTTTTGAGTGTACCCCATGCCCCTCTGATGGGGACAGTTACTTGGTTAAATTGAGTGGGCTTAGGGATCTTAACTCCTCTTTCAGACTTGGACCTAGTGCTCCATTTTCCAGCCCCATCTTGCACTCCCGCTTCCTGAGGCACTGGTGCCTTCCCAGGCTCTATCCATGAGGTGATTGGCTTTCTGGTGGCTGCTCTACGGTGCTCATCACTCTCTGCTTGCTCTGTGCACTGAATCACTCTTAACCTTCATCCATTCTGTTCCCACCTTCCAGAATTTGAATACCTCTAGTCTGTTGTTTGTCTCTTCTCTCATTCTTCATGTTCTCATGAGTTTGTCTTGCAAGTTTATCCCTTTTTTTGTGGGAAGGAACCAGATGTATAAATCAGTAGTTTATCATATTTAATCAGATGAGAATTTTTGTATTAATTTATATTGAAAAATATATAAATGACTTTCAATCATAGTTAATAAGGATTTTGTCAGTCAGGATCATGGTATTTTTGGACACTTCATATTAGACTCTCCCTTCCTCACACACCTCACCCCAAAACACTATATTTATCATTGCATTATTCCTAAAATTTGTAACAGTCTGGCAAAAAAAGAAGAACTCTTGGACTATAATAAAAAATACAGGGCCGGGGCCGGGCGCGGTGGCTCACGCCTGTAATCCTAGCACTCTGGGAGGCCAAGGCGGGCGGATTGTTTGAGCTCAGGAGTTCGAAACCAGCCTGAGCAAG